TCGTGTCAAGGGCAACGGGCAAGGACGACGAAGGATCTCCATCGTGTCCCAGGATACTCGAGGTCCATTCGATCGGAGAAAATTCGACGGACGTATCTATCCAGACTGCGAACAAGTTCTCGTCGAAGGGCAAATATCCGTTCGAGAACGGTTAGAACCAGCGGAAAAAGTCGTGGACGTTAGAGGGAGGAAAAAGAAGCACGCTGGAGCTAGAGGGAAGAAGCTTTGCGAAGACAAAGAAAAAGGTTCCTTTGGTCGAAAAGGTTCGTTCGTGGAGGAGAACGTTTCGAGAACGTTGAACGCGTCCGGACTGTCCATCCATCTATCCATCCATCCAACCATGGACACGAAGAAGGAAAAAGAAAAAGGACGGCTCATGTTTCAACGGGCCGAATAAATAAATTGGATTGGTCTGGCAACTTTTCCAACAGTTTCGTTGCAACTGGAAATCGATCCGTGGCCGAAGCGGTTCAACTTTTTTTTACCAAGTTCGATTAGAGGGCCGATGAAGAGGAAGAAGTGTTCGATTCGTTTCGTATCGCTGTCTTCGTCGAATTCGTCGACAGAGACTATTTCCCGAGTTAAGCGAACAACAACGTCCCCCGGATCGATTTTCCGAATGACCCGAAACACTCGTATTTTCGTCACTATCCTTCTCGAAAATGAAAAACACGGAGTCGATCGCGTTAAAAGATTTCCGTGTAACGATATCGAATTGTAGGGGGAGGAGGATGAATCAGGAAGGTCGCTCTCGCCTTGCGGACAATTTTCTCGCCACGGTTAAACGGCTAAGGGCGGAAAAAAGGGTGAAGAAAAGCTTGGAAGGTATAAATCGTGGCGTATCGTCGGGGTAGAAGGAGGGTAGGAAACGCCAAGAGGATTACGATGCCGGCGCCGCGGATTATCGGAATTCAATAATAGCGGTCGCGGCCGGTACAAATAAATATAAAAATCAGCCGGGGACAGCAGCACGCGCGGGCTTCCCAACGACCCGAAATAATCAAGACGAGGAAACGAGCGGTAAGGAGTCGGGACAAAGGTCGACGAACTCGTAAACGCCGTTAGCTTTCGAGCTTTTCCTTAAACTTTATAAAGCGGTAAAGAAAGGAACAGATGCTCTTTCGAAGGAAATCCTCGCGAAAGGTGTTACGAAAGCTGAACGCGACGAGAATACGCGACGAGAATTCGCGACAAGAAGAAATACGCGTTTCTCTCCGCGAGCGATTCTCGCCGCTTCGATCGTTACGCGCGGAGAGGGAAAACCGATGTATTATTGAAAATACTTAACCAACCCGCTTCGTTTTACGTTCGGGCGTAGCAACTTTGAAAAGAGAGAAACGTTCGAAGGTAAAACGTACCACCCGGGGAGTTGTCAAGACTCCTGCAAGGACGCTCTTATTTAGATCTTAACGGCTCGGTCGAGCGACCATAGGTCCGGGAACGATAAAGCTCGGTTATATAGACGCGCGTAAAATTCCTTACGATCTGGCCTCGGTTCGCTTCCGTTTTTCTACCTCTCTTTTACCGAAGACAGGGCTGCATAACCGTCGCGGAGGTCTATATTATTTCGCGACTGTGTCCCGATACGTTTCGAGTACTTGTTCGTAAAGGTTCGCAATATCGAAATTTCTAGTAACGACCGAAGCGGGATGCTGTACCACCGTTTATCCCGCAAACGGTCAGTTTGGTCATCCGTTACTTTTCAAAGGAATACAGTAGAGTCGGATCAGGGGGTTCATTTGGATTAAGGATTTTAGCCAGACTTTCGGTCCTACAGGACGATTCTTCGCCCTTAATCCTGCGTAATAATGGTCCGTAGATTCTGTTCCCCTAATCCTGACGTCACGATCAATGCGAAAGTAATTTGTTACTTTCCGAGATGAAGTCCGTACGAACTGACAGCTGGAACAACTCCTTAGGCTTCGAAGTAAACTAATATTTCTAGAGCGTATTGCCGTACGTTCGAACCGAGACATTACTTTTAACGAATCGTTTCACCCAACGGACAGGAACGATCCAAGACAATTAGCCATTTGCCACGCGAACAAGATAATCCTTCAAAGGAATTCAGAAAATTTCAAACCGTCAGTCTCTCCGACGCGATCGTTACGATCTCTACTTATCGTCCACCCTTTCGAAACACAGAACCTGTACACAAGTATATCAAGCGGGGAAAACAAGTTTCTTCCCAAGAAGAACCGTCGCGGCAACTCGTTGTCCAACTACCATCAAAGCTTTACGCGAGAACAGTCGATAACTACGGAGAGACAGGGGCGACGTAAAGAGACAGAAAGCGAGTCGCGAAACGTCTCGCTGCGAAGAGGACGTTCGGTCGGTGTTCCGGCGAAAAACTTGCTTTCACCCGGTCCGGAGCACGGTCCTCGTAAATACGGAAACGAACGAATGGGTGGATCTCGTTGGGCAAGTACTTAACGCGAACACCGGAAAGTCCTAGCAAGGAGGAGAAGAAGAACACCGCTTCGCGTCGAGTTCACTGGATTTACGAGCGTCGTGGACAAAGAATGCCCGCGAAGGATCGCTGGCGCGAGTCCCTTCGAGCAGAAAAAGGAACGGGAAAGAGACTGCTAGCACGATAACCGGCTTCTCCTTTTCCTATCGCGTGTCCGTCGAAAAGCTTTTTCTTCCTTTTCCGAGGGGAGAGAACAGTACCGCTCTCTAGACGCGACTGACCCACTGGTACCGTTCGACGGTTAGGTTCGTCGTGCTCGCTCGTGCGTGAAAATAATCGATTTTCCACGGATTCGACGACGTTTCGAGAAAAAGCTCGATGTCGTTGGTTGGCGAGAGCGTTGTATCGGTACGCGTCGAATCACCGAGTGGTATTTTCGCCAAACTAATTGATACTGTACGTATCAGTTATCCGAGAATCACGCGATCGTACAGCCCTTCGATTTCGCTTCGAACGCGAATAATAGAATGGTTCCTCCTATCGGTGAAATTTCTTCCCTCGACTTTTCGGTTCGCCCTTGGGGAATTTTCTCCTTCCCGATGCAAGTGACCCACTGTCGTTCAAAGGCAGAAGCGAATTCGAACAAAGAAACCCTCTTTACGGTGCTCTTCCTCGCGCGAAAATAATCGATGCCGTTCTCCACGGAGCTCTTTCTCTCTTTCTCTCCTTATCTCCGTCGACTGTCTATCTGTCTGTTTCTTCCTCCCGAATCAGTCGTGTGTGTCTCTCCCCTTTCGAGCCGGGAAGATACCGCTATATATACGGGGAAACAGAGGGGGACGGACAGATATCGGACGAACAGAACGGCCTACGAGACTTCTTCGAGTGAAATTACGACCCCTAATATTATTGACAACCGATACGCGCGAAAGGGAGACGGAGCAAGTGGAAGAGTCGCGTTGCCGGTCGAATTTTATCGGGCACGAGGGCGTCGGAGAAAACTATTTTCTCGACGCGATAACGCGACGCATCCATTTTGGCTGAAAGAATTTTAAACGGGGGAAATGAAGGCTCTTTGTTGTTCGATGAAATTCAATTCCGACGAGGTGGCACTTGATGGACGTCGGTGTTTCGCATAATAGGGAAGCTAGCAAAGACTCTGGAATTCCCTCTCGAGTTTCACGGATCAGAACCGAAGACAAATATACTTCTTCTCCGAGGAATTTACATGATATCAACCTGGTTAAATATACCGTTCGATCATCTATTTTTTAAACGACACTTTCATAAGCGCGATTTTACACGAAACGCTACGAACTACTTTCGGATTCGAGCTCTCCAATTCTCTAA